GGAATCTGGGCTAAAAGGCATTTTTTGTCATGAAGATGTCTGACAGTTTTTGTAAGCTTCACCTTTGGAGAAAACAAATGACACTTTATGGTATAAAACTCTTTTTCAGTGTTGTCTGCGTTCAAAAAGAACAGTCCTTACACCTTTTAAACAGAATCTTTTTGAAGGCTTTACGAAAGTCCCTGTTAAAGATGGTGTAGATGAGTGGGTTCAGGGCACTGTTACAGTAGCCAATCCAGAAGAAGAACTTAAAAAGTGCCTTCGGCAGTTCACAAGCCTTTGGACAAATTGCCTGCAAGCTGTAGCTGAAGAAGAACGGGAACCAGCAGATGACAAAAACCCCAATAACGACCGCAAGGACAAAAGTGAAACGCTTCTCACGGACGATCATGGCTTTCCTCCTGGTGTTTGGTGTTCCTGCAGGTTTCATGTTGGAAGAGGCCAGCTGGCTGCCCTTTGATGTTGCGATGATGTTTCGGTACATTTGGGTTGGTGAGGACATCTGGTAGCCAGGCTCCAGTGCCCCCATGTTGGAGGTTGCCCTGTTGGTATTATGTCCCCCAACTACCTCAACATCAGAGCCAGAGCTCGAACTGTCCTCGTTGTCCTTGCACCTCCTTGAGCCTTTCATCTGCTGCCGGCTCTCTGCTGGTGGTTGAGCCTGGTTTATGGTGTCAGATCTGGATGCAGCCGGATTGGGAACATTCGCGACATTTGCAGGGTCAACACCTCCCTGGTTTTTCCCATTCTGCAGCTCCCGTCCCGGAGTGACGCAGCCTGCGCAGTCTTTCCTTGGCTCTCCTGGAGGACATCTACTGTGCTTCTTGGCAATCTGATAGATGCGAACGTATACCAGGATCATGATGAGGCATGGGGCAAAGAACGACCCGATGGAGGAGTACAGGATGTACCAGATGTCCTCGTTGAGTTTGCACTGTGGGCCGCCCCCATCCTTCGCCAGCGGGGTCTTATTCATGGAGACCAGCGGGGGGAAAGAGATGATGGCAGAGATGAGCCACACCACCAATATGGCCCCCTTGATCTTGTAAGGGGTGCGCTGGGACGCGTACTGCACCGGCTGGGAGATAGACAGGTAGCGGTCCAGGCTGATGGCGCACAGGTGTATGATGGAAGATGTGCAGAAGAGCACATCCAGAGCTAAGATGATCTCACACCAAAAGGACTCGAAGTACCAGCAGCCCATCAGCTCATTGGCCAAGGAGAACGGAATGATCAAGGTGGCCACCAGGATGTCCGCCGCAGCCAGGGACACCAGGAACAGGTTCTGAGGTCCTCGCAAAGAGCGGCATGTCAGGACGGCAATGATCACTAAGATGTTCCCAAAGATGGTGAAGAGCATGATGAGTGTCATTGCGGTGGCAAACGCAGCCGTGGCTTCAGGAGAATAAGGAGTACTGGAATTACTACACGCTACATCTGACGGCAGTATCGTGGTCATATTTAAGTTTCAGGTTGGACAGAGAAGTGCAAAGCAGTCTTTGATGTAGACTTAGATCCTAGTGTAATCCTTCCACAAACAGTCTTCTTTTAGAAAATCGTTGAAAGTGACATGAATAAAATGAGTCTTTACAGCAAAGAATGACATCCTCCAGATACTTCCTTTGGCAAATCGAGATGTATCATTTGCATTTAAAGCGGGGTCGTGCAGTCAGTCAACTTAAGTAAATAATTTAAAATAAAATACAAAACCGGTCATTATTAATAAAAACGCGGTATTAACTTACCACAGCGTAAGCCAAACTCGATAGAGTACTGAAATTAAGAGGAAGAAATTACACAATATAAAATTAAGTTTATAATATATATGCATGTATGTATGTCTGTTATTATCATCATCAATTCTCAGAAGTAAAACTTGCAGAAAATACAATAATGGGAATCTGGGCTAAAAGGCATTTTTTGTCATGAAGATGTCTGACAGTTTTTGTAAGCTTCACCTTTGGAGAAAACAAATGACACTTTATGGTATAAAACTCTTTTTCAGTGTTGTCTGCGTTCAAAAAGAACAGTCCTTACACCTTTTAAACAGAATCTTTTTGAAGGCTTTACGAAAGTCCCTGTTAAAGATGGTGTAGATGAGTGGGTTCAGGGCACTGTTACAGTAGCCAATCCAGAAGAAGAACTTAAAAAGTGCCTTCGGCAGTTCACAAGCCTTTGGACAAATTGCCTGCAAGCTGTAGCTGAAGAAGAACGGGAACCAGCAGATGACAAAAACCCCAATAACGACCGCAAGGACAAAAGTGAAACGCTTCTCACGGACGATCATGGCTTTCCTCCTGGTGTTTGGTGTTCCTGCAGGTTTCATGTTGGAAGAGGCCAGCTGGCTGCCCTTTGATGTTGCGATGATGTTTCGGTACATTTGGGTTGGTGAGGACATCTGGTAGCCAGGCTCCAGTGCCCCCATGTTGGAGGTTGCCCTGTTGGTATTATGTCCCCCAACTACCTCAACATCAGAGCCAGAGCTCGAACTGTCCTCGTTGTCCTTGCACCTCCTTGAGCCTTTCATCTGCTGCCGGCTCTCTGCTGGTGGTTGAGCCTGGTTTATGGTGTCAGATCTGGATGCAGCCGGATTGGGAACATTCGCGACATTTGCAGGGTCAACACCTCCCTGGTTTTTCCCATTCTGCAGCTCCCGTCCCGGAGTGACGCAGCCTGCGCAGTCTTTCCTTGGCTCTCCTGGAGGACATCTACTGTGCTTCTTGGCAATCTGATAGATGCGAACGTATACCAGGATCATGATGAGGCATGGGGCAAAGAACGACCCGATGGAGGAGTACAGGATGTACCAGATGTCCTCGTTGAGTTTGCACTGTGGGCCGCCCCCATCCTTCGCCAGCGGGGTCTTATTCATGGAGACCAGCGGGGGGAAAGAGATGATGGCAGAGATGAGCCACACCACCAATATGGCCCCCTTGATCTTGTAAGGGGTGCGCTGGGACGCGTACTGCACCGGCTGGGAGATAGACAGGTAGCGGTCCAGGCTGATGGCGCACAGGTGTATGATGGAAGATGTGCAGAAGAGCACATCCAGAGCTAAGATGATCTCACACCAAAAGGACTCGAAGTACCAGCAGCCCATCAGCTCATTGGCCAAGGAGAACGGAATGATCAAGGTGGCCACCAGGATGTCCGCCGCAGCCAGGGACACCAGGAACAGGTTCTGAGGTCCTCGCAAAGAGCGGCATGTCAGGACGGCAATGATCACTAAGATGTTCCCAAAGATGGTGAAGAGCATGATGAGTGTCATTGCGGTGGCAAACGCAGCCGTGGCTTCAGGAGAATAAGGAGTACTGGAATTACTACACGCTACATCTGACGGCAGTATCGTGGTCATATTTAAGTTTCAGGTTGGACAGAGAAGTGCAAAGCAGTCTTTGATGTAGACTTAGATCCTAGTGTAATCCTTCCACAAACAGGCTTCTTTTAGAAAATCGTTGAAAGTGACATGAATAAAATGAGTCTTTACAGCAAAGAATGACATCCTCCAGATACTTCCTTTGGCAAATCGAGATGTATCATTTGCATTTAAAGCGGGGTCGTGCAGTCAGTCAACTTAAGTAAATAATTTAAAATAAAATACAAAACCGGTCATTATTAATAAAAACGCGGTATTAACTTACCACAGCGTAAGCCAAACTCTTTTTAGACATGACAAGTCACTCAAACTACACAAAAAGGCTCGTTTGCTATATCGGTTCCGATTCCAATCCAAAAACATGAGGTAGGGCGCATTTGCAGCATTGGAACAAATACGCGCTTGCAGATGCGCAAGGACCAAAAAAAAAAAAAAAACCTACGTTTAGATAGTAAAATTTATGTAATACAGAAATATAAAAATGATTCAAACATGGTTGTTCCGTGGGTTTATGCGTTTCCGAGCAGCTCTGAAATTGTCAAGGTGCGTAAAAAGGCTCACCGTCTCCATACACGCACAAGCAAAGCCAAAACTATAGTTTGACACTATATCGACGAACGATCTTTGCATAAACAGCTCCTTGTCAGAGAAAGAAAAAAAAATCCAGGAAGGAAAGCTCCAGTTAAATAATTGTTTTTAATATTTTAAATAAACTTCCCCAGCATCAACCGAATAAAGAAATTGAGAATTAGAATGTTTAATCCTTCATTTCTCCGTTATTTTAGTCTTACACCAATTTCTTTTCCTAGACGTTTCCAATAACTTTGCGCATCAGCCGGAATGAACTGACTAAAGTCTAACCGAGCGCGTCTCTGTGTCTCCCGTCATGACGTCACGCAGATGCCCTCTTCTCATGACGTCACGTCAGAGAATCACTCCTTCTCATGGTAAAATTTAGCAAATTTATAATCTTGTAATTTTTCACATTCATAGGTAAGTGGTTCTAAATGTAACCGCGTCTATACAAAAAATAAAAAAAAAGTTAGTAAAGTAAAATTAAGTCTAAGTGGCCCTTTAAACAGCCACTTACGTTTAAAAACACCAGACGCAAAATCACCATGGAACTTGTAAATGCAAAAGAGGTCTGATGAATAAAAACGTACAACCTGTCTAGTATTTAGAAGGCCACAGTTAAAGGTAATGAAGTAGAGTTGACTAGAATCACTGAACATATTAAAGCTGCTTTTACAAAATACCATAAAACAATCAGATGCACTGCAACAGATTCAGCTCTCCAAACAAGGAAAACGGATTGTGTTTAGCAAATATGCTGGTGAAATTAAACTCAAAATCATTTAAGAACCCAAAAGAAAAACACTACACTGCAATATGCCATAGAACTGACTTAATGAAATGGTACTGCGAGTACATTTGAGCCTCATACGTCTCTTTGGCAACACAGGCTCCATTCACATTATCCAACTAAAAGTGCACAGTGACTACCACCTACTGGACAAAATAAAAATGACAATAAGAACAAGAACTGGGGACTGGAGGACCTGTAAATCAATGAACTCATTTTAAATTAGACAATATTATTGGCCTAAATTCAGAATGAGCCATACATTTTTCGATCTTCAGAACTTTATTTGTCCTCCTAGATTCAGAATTCCAGTCATCAACAAGTAACCATTCAAGACAGCCAACCAGAGCAGTTGTGAGGTTGGACACATCAACACTTCACTTGATCCTTGTTTTGTCCCTTGTCTGAAATGGAGAAAGCACCAATTCTCAATGTCAAAGTCACAGAACAACGGTAAGGCAAAAATAAAATCAACAAATAACTGCATCAGGTCTTTTAGAGATACTGCTATTGATTGTTCAATTCCTCTCCTCAGCCGTCAGAACGCTAGCAGGTCATAATGTTTGACAGGATCACAATTTCTTGGACTACATATGGCTTTCCATTTTTATATTGCAAATTCTGAAGTTTTGTAATTTGCCATCTGATCAAATTCATTCTCTTCATCAGAACGGATTTGGAGAAACGTAGCATGACATTATTTGCTCACCAATGGATCCTCTGCAGTGAATGGGTGCCGTCAGAATGAGAGGCCAAACAGCTGATAAAAATCCACAAGGAATCCACACCACTCCAATCCATCAATTAATGTCTTGTGAAGCGAAACATTCTAAAAGTTTAGAATAAACAGGACGTTTTTAACTTCAAACCGCTGCTTCTGGCTAAAATACGAGTCCATAATATTGCTTTCTCCACTAAAAAAAAAAAAAAAAAAAAAAAA